AGAGAGAGAGAGAGAGAGAGAGAGAGAGAGAGAGAGAGAGACAGACCACTTTGTTAGTCTCTAGGCCAACTTTCCAGAGCACCGAAACCCAAACTTGACTTCATTGTGAATGGATTAAAAAATGTGAACTTGTTGTGAGCTCTGCTGTCCATCTGGCTTTTCTCCCTCCTAATGCACTGTAATATCTTTGTAATCATTTATGCTCTGTACACAGTGATAATCACCGTGCACACAGGCTATGCTATTGAGCTTTGCTCTTGACCTTAAACACATCACAACTAATGTGTGAAGTTATCTGTGTAGTGAATGGTGGTTTTGCATGGCTTTATTTTATACATGTGGCTACTAGACTGCAGCCTGCTGCTGTTAAAGTAATTTGTACAGTACCTTTAGATTATTTTGTTTTGCATAATGGCCACAGAAATGAAAAACTTTCATAAGTGTTTGTCTGCAAACATAATTTTGTGATTTTTTGCTCTGTGGTCTCGAGTTACAAAATGTGGATAATTGGAATAATAGATGTTTGCCAAGCAGTAGCAGAGCATTTAAGTTTCAGACAGTCTCTCTGTATCTCACCTCTCTGTGTGTTCTCTGCTTACCTTTGGTAGCTTACCTTTCATTCTGAATTTAATAATGACTCAGATTGACCTGCTCTTAAAAAATATTTTGTTGTTGTGCTCATTTGCAAAGCGTACCTCTTTGGAGGTAGATCTCTAAGTGTGGCTCCCCTTTAAACAACCTCATCCACTAATGACTGTCTTGCAGGCAAAGCTGGAGTGAAATGTAGCTGACACAGGCACTGGGTTCAATAGCGCAGCTCAGGGCACCCAAAACAAATGGCTGAACAGTCGCTATTAGGCGTATAAATTGTAAACATCTCTGCAGGCAAAATTAGTGCTTTGCAGCTTCTGCTAATGCTGGATAATAATGAGGCTGCTTAAACGACAAGTTTTTATTTCATTACAAATTCATGGGACGATTTTCCACATGAACACTGCTATTTAAACAAACAGGAACTTTCAAATTCTTGGAACTGCTAGTGTTTTGGGTTTGTTAATATGGTGCAATAATTCTTTAGGCTCATGGATAGACAGACAGATAGGTAAACATACTGTCCAGTTACCGTATGGTGTCCCCGCAGATCAATGTAAACAATGAATTGTGGACAGCTAAAAACAGAAAACCCTGACCACATCTGATATATGTGCTATTCTTCTTTTATATATCTCCTAACCACAATGCACTCCAAGCTGGACACCGACATGATGATGAAGCACAGTAACAAAAGGGAACGGAACAGCAGTACAGCATTTTTCTTCTTTTACCTTGTCATGAGCAGGTTGCTTCAAGTCAGGCTCATACAATAACTCCAGCTACAACAACCTGCTCTTGCTTTTCTCAAACCAACAAGTGATCATACAACCAGTCTATTTTGTAGGCTATTTAGTGATGGTTTGGTTCTGATGAAAATGGGTGTTTCCTAATAGGTCACATCTAAAACAGGTGTTTACTTTGAGTTGATCTATCACATGACAGAAGCACCATCACATCACTACAAGCCTGCAATCCATGAGTAAGATCATGCCTGAAGTTACCTGAGTAAGACTCATCCCAGAGTTATGTCCCCATCTGGAAAACTCACAAAACCTCTGCTCTGGCAGCAGCTGTCAAAGTTCTTGGCTGACACAGACAGACCAACATCTCCCAGTGTTTCAGAGCTTCTGTCCACTGGTATATTTTTCCATATATATAATTTATATATTTATTACATAGTGCATATTTCATTTTGGTTCAGTATAGTGTAATGTAAAAATATATAATGATGTGGGTAGTCAACAATTCACTCATTGAAATTCAGAGCTTGTGATGGAGGTTGCGCTTATTCTCCCATAACATGATTAATCTATAATGTTACCTCAGGCTGTGTATTTGGAAGAGAGGGTCTTGCTTATTCACCTCTAGTGCTGCAGACACTTATTGCTATTCTCTGCACATTTCTGCTTGACATGAATGGATTTCTAACTTGTCTGAGATTTAACCCTTCTCCAAATTTGTACAGGGGCTTCATATAAGGACATCCAGCACCAAAATGGGATGGACAGGGCCAACTACATGGTGATAGACTCTTCAGTCACCTCATAATATTAAAGTGTAATCTCTTCCTATCCTACAATGAATGTAGCAAAGCAAATACTTTATAAATATGCTAACATACTTCTCTCATTGTGGGGCACTGGTGCTGCTCTCAGTGCATTCCTAACTGGTAATAGTAAGTGACATGTATGCATTATTATGTATGCCGGACTACTGCTGCAGTAAGTAGTCTAATTATGTTGACTTACAATACACTTGACTGCGTGTGGCTGGCTCTGTCCAGTTCTTTCCTTTGTGCAAGGATATGTTAGGCTAAAGGCTAATGAAGCGATTAAACTCAGACTTATTCTACAGCACATCACTAGTTCAAATCATGGCTCCATGTGCAAGGATGAGGCCAAACAGTTAGTAATTAGCCATTACTGTGTAAAAATGACTGTGTTTAAATAGCTTTCTCCTCTTGGAGTCAAAAGCAGATCCAGTGAATATACAATAGTACTAATAGTGCTACTAATCAGTGAAGACAGAGACCAGCTACACAGGAGCAAGGCTTGTGTATTACACTGTAAACCATTTCACAGGCAGCAGTGTGCACAGCCCCAAGCCATGCATAAGAAAATAATTTAAAATTAAACTGAGAGATGGGACTCATCAGAGGGAACTGAGGACCCAGAACGCAAAGATGCTATTCTATAGAAACAATTAATCATGCAGAGACTTGTGCCTTAAGCTTTTGGTTACAAAGGCGTATTATTTGGGATGAATGAAAAATGAGTTTATCAAAGAACAGGCCATTAGTAAGAGGTCACTGTGTAGCGGTGGTACTTATCTATTCATGACGAACAGCAGGGTTTTTGTCTTTTTTTTTTTTTGGGGGGGTGATACACTTACAGGTGACAGCTCCTCTTCATCTAAATTCACTTTTTGGCCTTGTTCCAAAAAGAAGGAGAAAAAGTCTGTCTTTCCTTTTCACTTCATTGCTCATAGCCATAAACATTAATGACTCAGGTTTGTGTGACAATGAAATTCCACCTTCATCGCTGAGAGCAGGCGTGACCTACCCGCCAATGTCTTGGTGACTGTTGGCAGCACTTTTGAGACTGAGTTATGTTGACACCCATGGAGATTCATGAGGTGTGCTCCACAACTGGAGTTGAAGGGACAAAACACTGACAGATGCCAACGACAGTATAGGGGACGTTTTTTTTTTTACCAAAATCAGAGCAGGTAAGAATGAAATGGGTGATTATCCATTGGATGGCCTACTTTCTATGGAAAGATATTTCCTCTATCATATCAATTCTACTTACTAATGCATGGAATTCACCTAGTCATGGCACCAAACATACAGTGCTATTCATTCAGATATCTCATAAATACCTTTCTATATGCAGAGAATAAATATTAGAGGACATACATTACTTTCAACATGCATACCTGATATATGGTAATAGCTAACACAGCAAGACTTACCACTTATACATACATATCCTCACTATGGAGTCCAATCACAGCTGTGAACAAGAAACAAAACTGTCACTTGATACAATATGTCTTTCAGATGCTGAACAATAACCTTGTTATTAGTGTCACATTCTGATTATATATATATATATATATATATATATATATATATATATATAGAGAGAGAGAGAGAGAGAGAGAGAGATATTGTTCATAATAGTGTGGGACTAAAAAAATATATTTTTTAATTATTTATGACAGCTTAATTGGATCTTATAGGTGGCAGTCAGATGAAACATGTTAACATTATTCTTATGCAAATCTTGCACAAAATGCACAGTGTCTTACTCTCCCCAGCAGAGATGGAGAGAGAGAGAGAGAGAGAGAGGGAGAGAGAAATCACATACAGTCATAATAAATACAAGGAAACTTAAAGAATTAAGCTTTTTTAAGACTTGTGTGAATTGCCAGTTAAAATGAATAATTTATATTTTTTGATGAAATCCCAGCAACATATTGCTTCATAGATGAGTGAAATTAAGAGATTTATTCCTCTGCTGGGATGTGATGAATTGTTTATGGTATTTTGGATGACTGTCAGCTTAAAACACAAATCTCAGGGTTAAGCTTTCTGTTTTAATCCCCCTGGAATGAGTCTAGATTGATCTACTGTGCTATGGGAACTGTAACTGGGATCAATTACAGCCTTTTCCTTTCCTTTTATGTCAAAGCTATTGCTCCATATAAACTCTGACATGTAGCACTGATATGTGGGTTAGCAATATATTCAGACATGAATATCTACTTTTATATTCCACTTTTAGATATTAGTGTTATGGGCACTGTTTGTTCTCAAATAGAATGTGTTATAAATTCCCTTTCCAGTTTCCCTTTAGCCTATATTTTTAATGAAATTATATATATATATATTTATAAATTGTATAAATAATGTAAAAATGGAAACTTTTTGCGCAACCACAGCTGCAGTATCCACAGGTGGCCAGTAGGGGTAGTGTGTGATTTTATAACAACTTGGGAGGCATGGACCTTTATTCCTCGGCTGCTATGAAGACCAGATGATGGCCATAATAAACTGTGATTGTTAATTTTGTCACTGCGGAGTTATTTTCCCAATTAAGCTTTGCTTCTAAGAATTGAATCAATGCCTGCAAAGAAACAAACAAATAAACAAACATGGAGGCATTTACAGAGAGATGGCTCACTCTGTTTGCTCTACAGGTGCCTTTTTTTTTCACTTGTGCAGTTCAGTGAAGGAACTGTCCACTGCCGGTGGTGCTGAAAGTTTGTGCTCTGCGCCTCTGACAGACTTAACCAAACAATTAAGAGATATTTCCGGTTTTATTGCAGTCACGAGAAATATCCTTTAATTGTAAGATTATGTCCATCTAGAAACTCCGTCTCTTGCACGACTCCCTCCTCTTCTTCACAGATCTGCGCACGCCTGGCATTGCTCAAACAATGCGAGGCGTGTGACTGGTTCCCAATAAGAATTACTGGCACCCTGTAGTGTGATTCACAAAAAAAGAGAGAGCCTGTGCTTAAAATGTACCCCAATGTCATAATCCCGAGACAACGAGGGCGTCATTCTTTTTTTTTTTTTTTTTGCTGAAGCAATAATCAATGAATCGAAAAAGCGATGCAGATACACTATACAAAAAAACAACAACAATGAGCTATTTGTTTGTTCCAGTGCAAAATGCTCTTTCGGTAACTCCTTCCAGCTGGTCCCCGGTTCAGTCAGGCGTTGTGGCTTCTGTCACGTCTGTCCCTCATCCATCAGCCCTTTGCCGAAGAGGAACATGGTGTGTAAATCCTTTTCTCTGCCACATCAGCTGCGCTTCGTCGCCACAAAAGTGCGCCCAAATGTGTCTGTCTGCTCCCGCACGCACCATCCCCTGAAGACGCCAACTTCTCCAAAAGTAAACAGTTTACACCGCCGTCGACTTTTCATCTCTGTTGCCAATCTAGATTTGTTTTTTTTTTTTGTCTTTTTTTTTTTTTTCTGGAAGTGATGAAGGCTGGTGGAGTTTTTTGCTTAGTCTGTTGCAACCTCCGATCATGTGTTTAGATATCGGGTCTCCAAGCGTCTTTCTCCGGCTAGTCCAAATCATTTCTACCCGGCTTGTCGGGACAGCAGTCGAGTCGTGAAGTCTCTGCAGTCACGTGATCGAGACAGGATGAAGAGAGTGTGTGTGTGTGTGTGTGTGTGTCTGCGCGCGCGCGCGCGCGCGTGTGTGTGTGTGTGTGTGTGGTTTTCTTTTTTGGTTTCGGAGTGTGTATGTGAGCGTCTCTCCGTGTGTACTTAGAGGGGTGTCCCTCCTCCGCATTTTTTTGCTGCTTGCCACGCTTTAGACGCCGGAGCGCAGGGAGATAGGCGAGAGTGAGAGAGGTAACACCGGTCTCTCTCTCCGGGCTACCTGTCTTTTCAGTCTTACCTCGGGTCCCCGTTGGTTCTTCCTCGTCTTTTTGAGCCCACCTTCCTGCGGTCGGCTTGTTTTTGTTGGTTTAAAAAAAAAAAAAGAAAGAGAGAGAGTGAGAGAGAGAGAGAGGCAGAGAGGGGGAGAGAGGGAGAGGGAGAGAGAGAGGGAGAGAGGGAGAGAGAGAGAGAGAGGGAGAGAAACTGTGATAATTTCTGCAGGGTTTCATGCGGGTCTGGTCTGCCAGGAGGAGGACCGCGGTTCTGTTTTGCACTGGGTTTTGATCATCTTTTATTTTCTCCTTCTTCTTTTTTTGCTTCTTTTGGGTGCTCCATTTGGACAGTATAGGACAGCCGAGCAGAGCTTGGATGAGCCACCTCGCTGAAATCCCGAGATGGAGTTGCTGCTGATCTGCCTTTCCCTGTGGATATTGCAATGCAATTCGGCCAGAGCGGACTCCATCATACATATCGGTAAGCGTCCGATAAAACAACATGTTGTTTGGGGTTAGACGGGGTGTAAAAGGTAAAGCGTGCCGGGATAAAGCTCAGTCAGCGCATACTGCGTTGATCACAGGATTTGGGGTGAGAGGGCGGGATAAATAGTCTATTCAGCTTGCATCCTGTGTTTAAGCAACACTTTAACTGTCAGGCGAGTTGAAAAGTTGGTGTTTTGTAAACGGCCGTGCCTCTGACCTTTATAGCCACAGCTATTTTTTGTTATTGTTTATCACTATTATTTATTTATCAGCCTCTTTGTGCAGACATTTCTTACACTTTTCGACGGCAGATCTCTGCATTCATGCTGGCTTCAGGTCCAAACCTCATCACTGTCGGCCTGTAAAATTGTAATTCAGTATTCAAAACACGGATTACAGTAAGCAGAAAGGCCTGCATTGTTGAATCTTTGATGTAATTAATATCCAATAGCCAAATGGCTGAGGCTTTTTTAGACCAAGCTACCTCTTGTCTGTACCCGACAAGCTTCAACTTTCACCGGAACGTGACTGCAATGTCAATATGAAGACAGAGGGAATGTCAGTGGAGTTTCGTTTTAGAGATGCAAAACGCATAGAGCCTCTTTGTTCTCAAACTTCAAACCAGAGCTGCTCTTTTTCCAGAGCTTTAAACTCATCATGACATTGAAATGATCCAGTGTTTGTCCCGAAATACCGAGTTACATTTCATTTTACAGTTTTGAAATACATACATGATCTCCCCTACACACACACACACACACACACACACACACACACACACACACACACACACACACACACAGAATAATTGTCTAGGTTTATGTCCTCTTTTCATGTACACAGTCAGGTAGCCACTCATAATGATTGGCGTTGTAATCTCAGATAAAAATGTCAATGTCACTGTGAGAAAATTTGGTCTCGGTGTCCCTCCGCTGCTGCTGCTGCTGCTGGTGTTCACAGTTTACTGCAACAGTCTGGCAAGCAGCAGGTGCTCAGTCACTGGCTTAATACAGAGGTGGGACTCCATCCAGATAATATTGGCTGATGCGCCGCTTTACGTTAGGGTACCCCAATTATACTTCTCATTTCCTGAAACCTTTTTCCGTGATATATGCGTGTCTCCCGGTAGCAGCTGATGCCATTTAGATAAACAGGGTAAGAAAGAAGGGAGGGGGGGGACAGTTAAGCTTCAGCCTCCCACACTAGGCCTGTAGTGCTGACTGGGAAGGGTGCCATTGATTTGGTAGACGTGAAAGCCATTTATTTTCTAAGTTTGGCTGCTCTACGCAACAAATAACAGTGATTGTGTGTCGCTGTCCATGGTGCTGAAACCCTGTCAGGTTGCGCACTGAGGCGCAAATGTTGCACAACTTCAAGGCAAAATTAAACCCAACAAGAGAAAATTAAATTTCACGTCCCATTATTGAATTATGGATCACGTTGGTAGGTTTTGGATGACAACAACAACAACAATAACAGTAAAACGCTTCTATTTAGTTTGCACTAGCGATGGTCCAGCAATTCATCTCATTCACTGCTCCCTGCACCCTCCAATCGTGCAATCACACGCCAACCCCCCCTGGTGTTTTTTTCCTTTCTCTCCAAATAACTTCTGATTGATTTATTCAACAGGTGCCATATTCGAGGAAAACGCAGTGAGAGATGACGAGATTTTTCAACTTGCCATTTCAGACCTGAGTCTGAACGACGACATTCTGCAGAGCGAGAAAATCACCCACTCTGTGAAACTTATCGAGCCTAACAACCCCTTCCAGGCTGTGCAGGAAGGTAAGATTGCCCCTGTTATTTTCTGTGAGTACGTCAAGGAGGCGGTCTCCTCGATCGTGCACCTTTTTTTTTTGGACATGAGCTGATGTTCATTTCACATTCAGTCACACATCAGTCAGTGTGGTTGCTATAGGGAAGCAGCCATTGATGATGATCCATGTGTCTCTGTGAGTGAAATCGCTGCGTGTGTGTGTGTGCGTGTGCATCTGCAAAGTGCTGTGCCACTGTACCAAAGCAAGGTGTCTTCTGTGGCTGAAAAGCTAGGTGGAAGCATTGAGTTAGAGCATAGCAGCTAAGGATAATATGTGATGTGAAATAAGAATCGTTTGAAGATGATCGAGTGTAATTCCAGCTCCAATACTCCACTTATGTAATCACAGGAGAGAAAACATATTTCTGGCTTTTATGTCTCTTTGAAGGATAAGTGCCACCATCTTGTTAATGCACATTCATCAGCCTTCAGCTTTTTCCTTAAAATGTTTTGTCTGCTTCGTTTGGATTTCCCATAAGTGCCCAGGATGTACACACCTCCACAAAACAGGCAGGAAATTAGTAATGAAATTATTTCAGTCAAGGTTATCGCTTTCGGTTACTGAGAGATGGTCCCATACACTGTTGACTGCAAAAGTGATTAAAAATTCTTCCACTGAAATGAATCATTAAGACTTTAATAGATTCCTTGGGACCTACAAAGGCTGTTTATGTCCCCTGCACTTTGTTACCAGCCTGTACTTTTGTCCCCAGTTGCACAAAGGCCTTGATGACTCATTGCTATTCATAGTGCCCCTGACAGGCACAGAAAGATGATAACATGTCCAGCCTTTTGCTATAATTATCCCTCGTCATTTAGCTGTGGTCCTTAACAATGTCACAGATATAGTAGTCTAATTCACATTTTGTAAACTTAAATCCTGATGGGGCTCGAATGAAGCAGACTGGCATACAGGTTCTTTAAATAAACCTGAAGAGATAGTCCTGGTTGCTGCTGCGGAGATGAGATAAAAAATGTATTACACACATGTGTGACTTGGCTAATTTATCAGTCGCTGTTGCTTGAGATGCAAAAGTGTAGTAATTAAACAAACTTGCCAGCAAATCCTTTGCCATTTTTGCAGCACTCTGATTAGTTCAGTAGTACAGTCAAAGATGGAGTGTGTAAAACACACACTCACTTTATAACTCATAATTATCTTAAAGTTGTTTTGACAAAGATAATATTATAGCACAGTGTCATGCCTGCACAAAAGCTTAAGGACACACAGAATCTTTTTGATGATGGTGTAAAAAACCATTAAAGATGTGAAGAGAGAATGTAACTGCAGAGCTTGTTATTGCTTATTGAAAATTATTCTGAGCGTATTTCCTCTGATTGAGCTACCTTTTGTTAGCCTTGATTGGGTATCATTTAACATGCTATTTAACACACTTAATTACTGTTTACAGTTAGGCTCCTGATAATCATATATCTGCAGAAGTGGGTGTTTAGGTGGCATTCACTATATGGAGAGAGTTGGGTATAATGTGCAGTCAAATGACAAAGGATCGATGGGTGCCCCCGAATTCTCACACTTGACACAAAAGCAGGGTGGTGCATGTTGAGTGACAGCCGGGAAAAGTTGACCTTTTGCTTTGCTCTTTTGTTCGCTGCCATCCCACTGTGAGTGGCAGTCAGGACCTTGCCATCACACGATAAAGGGGGGGCATAAATAGGGAGGGGGTGGGGGGGTGGCAGGTTAGTGAGGGGCAATGAGGATGAGATGATGGAGGTGGAGAACATAGTGGCTGTTGAAAAGAGGAAGGGAGGGGGATTAAAGGTGAGAAGAGCAATGAGGACAAGAATAACCATGAGTACCAGCAATGCTGGGAAAAAATGGAAAAAAGACAAAAATTATGATCAAGACATGAATAAACATGAGTGGACAAAAGAAGAGTAGGAGAGTTAAGATAGGAGTGAGGTGATGAGGAAAATTTGCCAGCCCAGTGAGAGGCGTAGTTGCAGCGTCATGTTTGTCCTTATTTGGCTTCCTTTGTCCTTGCACTGGTGGAACATATATTAACGAGGATGTCACACAGACACCATACTCAACTATTCTCTCCTCCCACGCTCTTATCGTTTAAAGATGACAGCTCAAGGCTGGCTGGATATACCGCTTGACCACACTACTGGCAGATGCCACCCTATTTATAGGCTGGTGCAACTGGAGAGAATGAATAGGTTGATTTCGACACCGGGAGGAGCAAAAACTCAGAGGAATATTTATCTTTTGTGTACTGATGTCTGTCATGAGGTTTTTAGATACCATCAGCTTGTGATACTGTCACAGAAAAAAACAAAACAAACAAACATGTGGCCAGTGTAGCAGCCCCATATCTATTACAATTCTCCCAGTTGTTGTGCTTTATAGAGAAGATAAGGCAGTGGCAATAAAAATGGGCAAAATCATGTTTTTTTAAATTATACACAGTTCTCTGGAAGGGAAGGTTGTGATGACTTCCATAATGTGGTCATGTGCCATTTAACTGCGTGTACTGCCATTCTGATCAATTTTAACATGAATGCCTTACTTATCTAGTATCAGTCAGTCATCATTCAGGTGAGCCAGTCTGGGTTTCCACAAGGATGTGAGCATCAGCACAAAGACAGTAATAACCTTAGAAAGTTTAGAGCATGACCACAGCCTATGTAGTGTCACACTTAACATGTTATTTAATACAAAGCTAAATATCTCAAGAGTATAATACATCTGGTGAAGGACATAACTGAACTGGGCTGTTAAAGGAAATGAAAGGTGCATTTGAACTGGATTCTCACACATCTTGAGATGAATTGCACCCCATATTTTTTCCCACCTTGATTTAAAAGTAGAAGTTTGTCCTCTAGGCCGGATAAGTATACATAAGAAACAACACTTTTATAACCTTTTCTGTCTTGCATTTTATTCAATGTAAGTGGCAGAAAGGGGACAGCAAAGCTGCCACCTTGTTGTGTGCTTATGTAAATCTGAACCTATGCATATTTAAAGAAAAGTTTAACCTCTAAGGACCATGTCTTTCTTTCTTTCTTTGCTGTAGTTGCTCAGAGGAACACCATTTGGGATATTTCCTCTCATCAAAGCATTTGGGGGATATAAAAAATAATGTGAAAACCTCATAAAAAGATACTCTAATGCACCATAAGTCAACTAACAGAATACCACAAAGTCAAATCACCATTCCAGCTGCAGGTGCATGCTCAAAATACATTTCTAACAAGAGTCTGCAGCCATGCTAGCAGCTCTGTGAGGCACAGTGTGCTTTGAGCTAAATGCTAACATGCTAGCAATGACAATGATAACAAGCTGATGTTTAGCAGGTGTAATGTTCACCCTGGTCATCGTCTTAGCTTAGCATGTCAGCATGCTAACATTCGCTAATTAGCTAATTAGTCATTAGTTTTGCAAGTAGTTGGTCATAAATCAAAGTACTGGACATATTAAATTGTGATTAATGATTGCACTAGAAAAGGAAGAAGATCCCCAAGGTCATTAGAATCTATATTCTAGGGATCTTGAATATATTTAGTTATACAGCAATCCACCCATTAGTTGTCCAGATATTTCACAAGTAAAAAGAAGTAAACTTGCTGGTGGCACTAGATGAAAAGTCAGGGGATCACCAAAGTCATTAGGATTCATCCTAAGGGCACCATGAATGTATGTGCCAAATTTCATGTCAATCCATCCAATAGTTTGAGACATTTCCATTCCAAGTGGGGAACTGACCACAGCTAGAATGGCTAAAAAAATTAGCATATACATGAATCATAAGTTGAAACAAATCAACATGGTAATATGTTGCTCATACATTATAAAGGGGGTTTACAGTTTCTGCTAATTGGCATTCAATCTGTTGTGGCCCACCTTTCAAGCAGTGATTTTAAAACACTTTTATATGAGGTGTCCATGTAGTTTTGTCATACCCCTGCAGGTTTCCATTTCATTTTAAAACATACATTTAGAACAAAGCAGGTAAAAACAAAGCCATCTGGCCACAGTTAGGGGAAGTCATTTCCTGCTCCTCTAATGTGCAGTAATTTGTTGAGTGTTCTGTCCCACTGAGTCCTCTTCACACACCACACCACTAGTGACCCTCCATTTCCATCTAACCCCTGCCAAGGTAACGTCAAGGAGGATTTGATTCTTTGTGTTTTCTGCCAATAGACTTTGAATAACTTGCAGTGCAATTCTTTTCCCAATTTTTCTCTTTTTCTTCTGCTCAATCTGTAATGACAAAAGTTGAAATAATGGTTCCTTTGAAAGTGTTGGCATGGGTAATGTAATATCCTCCATCTGATTCTCTGCTTATGACAACTCATTACTCCCCATGCTCTAAACGTGATGGAATGCTGCCCTTTCACTATTATTGTCCCAGTGAATTTAATAATGCTGCATAAATCTTGGTAATGGATTTGTTTGTTTTTTTATGTCTCTTTACCAGCTCTACACACAGGGGGGATGATCAGGCCATTTTACCGGCCCCTGTTAATCACCTGGCGGTTATTTTAATCCGTCATAAGCTCCTCAATGGGCTGTATAAAGGCCTGCTGGTACCTTAATCAGCTAAGTGATGTTGCGGCAGAGGTATACCTTTCACCGTTTAATCCCCTCACAATATGAGGCCCACCATTCAGCATCCGTGCAAGGGTAGCCTTTTTTTTGGTTGCCTGTGCTTGCACACTGGTGGTCTTGTTCATGGTTAAGAAAATGTTTAATTCCTATTTAGAAAGGTGAAGTATTACTCATTCTAGCCATTCCAAAACAATATTAATAAACCAGTGATTCCCAGCTAGGGGGGCTACCTCTGCTATTGCCAGAGGGGACCTAGAAAAGATTTAGCAGTAGCTCAGCTACTTCTAAAAATACATCCACATGGGCTGTTTGTATTTAAGAGGAGAATAAACATACAAATAGAATTACAAACAGGTTACAAATTATATTTTTTTCACATTAACCAAAAAACTA